TTGTTATTCGCATCAGGGATCAAAATAGAAGATTTCGCGACGCATCCTGACGAGTCATGTAAATGAGAAAAGTATATCTTCATGAAGCGCCGCGACGCCTCCACAGCAACACACATCAACTCTATATAGTAAACAGATAAAAGAGGTTAGAATCAGAATATATACCCATATGTACAGTAATATCCAGTCTGGCGGGCCACATCTCGCGCGAGAGTCAAAACTGAGCCAACTCACAACTCACACAACATTATTCAATTCACTGCGCGGCAGCATAGGCAAAATCTTCATGCTTAAAATTGATCACAAGAGCCGACTAAGTCCTATATTAAGCATTTGCCAACTAAGTAACAATATGCATAGGCATGAGTTTTCCAACCCCGATCAGAGAAACAATAAGAAACATTGAGACCGGTACGCAATTAGCTCAACCCATGTTCTTCATCTATAGCAAGAGACACGTGTAAATTAGAAAGGATCCTACACGTCTTTGAGGTCACAACACTACCTTTGGACACACACGCAGTTTTATTGTAACTACCTAGAAAAAAAACCATACTTGTGAATAGGATTGGAAGTATGCCTATCAATTTTTTCTAGTTTAGTGTCTGTTCTAGAACCGATAACATATATCTAATGGCTGGCATGTCTACACTAGACACGTGTTGATTCGTTATCTCAAGTTGAGTCCACCGCTACGGACATGTATATGAAATAAACTAAGCGAGTGTGGCTCGAACGATTGTTACTTATTGCGCGGTGTAAGTAAATATGCCTGATTTTTAATAGGTTTATTGATTGGGCCATTCAAATATAGCGTTATTGATGTAATATACTGCAGATATATCAAGAATAAGTCAGATTATGTGTGCCGAAGATATACTCTCAGGAAATGGTGCCCTTGCGTCAAATTCACAACCGTTTTTCTATTGTAAACGCACATGAAGTGCCTTGCTAGGTTGATCGCCTGCTGAGATATGGCGGGTAGTAACCAACATAGAGAAGTTGCGCAATTCTCACATTTGATGCTTGCGACAATATATCACCAGTTGACAAGAGGCACTGGATTGTAATTGGTTATATAATTTGTTATCATCCTTAAAGTTGCTTTATGTATATTGGTGTTTGGGATTGATTAAGTGTCTATAACAGCAAGACATGATGTGCGACTGATAGTACGCTGAGTTCAGACACGCAGAGAGGCGAGTGCTGGAGAAGCTCATCCTATGCTTTTAGAGGACACCTAGATACAGACAAGCGGAGAGTAAGGACTCTTCCTCAACCGCTACGCTTCACAAACCCGCCCAGTGTGAGATGAGTCCATCAACTCGTGATGATGATGGATGTTTGCTGCAGATCGTTTCTGCTTCTGCTTTTATCCATCAGGTCAAAATAGGATTCACACACCTGACATCATTGTGATATATCAGGCCTCAGCCTCTTCAGCACATCACAATCAAAGAATTTAAGAATGAACAAATATAACAATTACAATCCAGTGCCTCTTGTCAACTGGCAACTCACAATTCCACACATTTCAATTTCACAGGCAAATGGGACTTCATGCTTAAAATGACTGCATAGCAAGCATGTACATACATTGAAGTTTTACCTGATCACTAACAATGAACTTGAACAGTAGAAATACCAACCCAGTCTCACAAAAAAACGTGTAATAACTACTTTGGTCCACAACTTGGGACGTAGTATTTCTACAAAAACGCCTCTGAAATTGTAAGATCCCTACATTTTTTTTCACCATTCATTTCCAATGGCTGGCATCTATGTCACGTGATCTTCATATTTGTCCCTGCAGAAAAAAAAAACATGGCCGAACATTCGTTTTATTCTCGGTGGAAAATGCCTATTTTAAGGTTAGTTTGGCCATTAAAATGCGTTTTGATGTCATTTGATGCGAGAAATATGAGTTGTTATTTCAGATTATGTGTGCAGTGGATGTACATGATCTTTAGTTTGCTAGTTATTACGAAGATTACTTCAGGAAATTTTTGTCCATACAACGTTTTCATTGTTACCAAGGTGGTTGCTAGGGACGCTGCTATCGATATTATTTCTGTTATGTTGTGTAACTGTTTAATGGTGTTATCTTTATTGCTACCCCCTTCCCCGTCAATTTATAGTGTTGGTCCACAGCGCAAACGTATTAGTTTAACAATATCCGCATCTAAAATGGTGGCATAGATCAACACATCCTCTATGTTGTCGACGACTTGAGATCGCGAGCGAATGCTACCCGCAGATCCATTCTCACAGCGTTTATCAAACTTTTTCTTACTCAATATCAAGCCACACTTTACACTTTACTTCTTTATTTTAATTGAATAATGTAGGACTTTTGTTGCCGTCAGTTATGAGAACTTTACACCCGGAAGTAAGTATTCTCTCCGCTTCGCTTGACAAACCCATGGACAAACCCCGTGATAGTCCTCAAGTTCTGTGTTTGGATGTTTGAGTGTGCGCCGAGGGTTACGCCGAGCATCGAAAAGCATTTTGAAATGGGATGGAACCACGGCAGACAGTCCAAAACTGGATTTGAACGGGTCCAACCCGTCCCNAAAGATTTTAATAAATATCAATAAAAAGTTGTATTAGATTAAACCCTCTTTAATGGTCACACACGCAGAGCACACACAGTGAAATGTGTTCTCTGCATTTAACCCATCCTAGCACCAGGAGTCTAGTACTAGGAGCAGTGGGCAGCTATTGCACTGCCCCCGGGGAGCAATGGGAGTGAGGGGGGTGGGGGGTTGTCCGGTGCCTTGCTCAAGGGCACCACGGCAGGGCAGGAGGTGAACTGGGACCTCTCCAAGTAGCAGTCCACACTCCATATCCAGGTCTGGTCGGGGACTTGAACCTGCGACCCTGCGGCTCACAGTCCATGCCCCCTACTGACTGAACCACTGCCGGTCGTGTCACTTATAGGTCATTGATGGGATATGAAGATGTTTTTTAAAGGTGTGAACGCGATTACAGAATGTCTCCAAAGTCTTTGAATATTGATGAAAGCCGCCAAGAAAATACTCAATTCAGCGGTGAAGACCTTGAAAATATTGCAGGTCTTTTGAGTTCCTTTTTCCTATTGAATGAATCTGCTCTGACATTGACATGTTGGTTCACTTCTCAAAGATAACAACCTTCTGCCTCCTCAAATCTCTGCTCAAACTGTCAATGGGAACAAAAGGTGAAATGAAATGTCAACGTTTGTCATTTTGTATCTGAATGAGTTCTCTCTCTTCCAGCTTATGTTGACTGTGGGTCTGCTGGCCGTGGTCGTCTATCTCTACACCGTGGTGGCCTTCAACTTCTTCAGGAAGTTCTACAACGGGGGGGATGAGGACGAGCCCGACATGAAGTGTGACGACATGTTGACGGTATGCCTTGCCACCTCAGATATATATATTTATGTATATTCATTTAGGAAAGAATAGTGAACATAGGAAATGACTTTGAAGATGTTGAGATTCCTGAGGCTTTGATTCTGGATTCTTTGTTTTCTACCAGACTGAGTAGAAAAAATGTTTCATTCGTGAACTTTGTAAAGGATTTTTTCTTTCACTTCTTACTTGAAAAACATCAGAAACTATTTACTGCATAACAAATTATTTTGATGAATGTTCTCCTTCTGGTCGAGCAGCTCACGGGGTCTCAGGATGTTTGAAATTACATTTTCTCAATAGTTTATTTATTTTCTTTTGAATACTTTTTTCTAGGAACGTTTTTTTGATGATTTTGATATATTGTGAATTTATTTTTATTTTATTATTTACTATCGTATAAGACAACAGATGACCAAACATTCTTTTATAATAGAGAAAAAAATACATGTATGCTATGGGTGTTTCTCAATGTCAAGGAAGGATGCTCCAGAGCCACTATTTCAAGGATGCTACGTCATCGAGTCCCGCCGAAGGACTGTTCTAATATCCAGGCTCCTTGGAATTCTACCGAGCCCGGCGTCCTTCGTTGCGAAACATTTCGAGGCTGCACATGTGTAGACTCTGCGGTCTTAAAATCCCCACAATGCTTTGCGCACGGATCAATTTCCAAATCTTTGGCGGAAATCGCGCTCCATTTAAGGCGGGGCCTCGCATATGACGCACACCTGTTAGCCTGTTCCACAAATCTTCGTTTTCCGAGGCTAGGAAGGATTCTTGCCTCGCTTCTGAAGGAAGTCACTCGGAAGACATGTCCTACCAAGGAAGCGTCTTTCCCATTGTGTCCTGAATAATTTCTCACTAATTGCATGTGTAAATTCTTTGCAATCTGAAATAATGTGTTAAATGTTCATATATGTAGATTGAATCCACCCATTAGTCTCTCTCCGTTGTTCCTGGGTAGCGATAGAAGACGCCAAATCTTTAGCGTTGCACTTAAATCACAGCCTCATAGTGCACTGAATAATAATGTGTCATCGTCCATCCCCACTGTAGCCAACACAACAGGACACAGCTGTGATCTTATCTCTTAGCTTCTCTCCTGTGTTCCCTCTGCAGTGCTACTTGTTCCACATGTACGTGGGTGTGAGAGCTGGAGGCGGTATCGGCGACGAGTTGGAGGACCCAGCTGGAGACCCCTACGAGCTTTACCGCATCATGTTCGACATCACCTTCTTCTTCTTCGTCATCGTCATCCTGCTCGCCATCATTCAGGGTACACACGCTTTGCTTTGTCATGGGTCTGTGTCCTGCATCCTCAAATCTTAAAGGTCCCCTATTATACTGTTTTTCCTCAATATATTATAGGTCTCAGATATATACAAACATGTCTCTGATTGGCTCGAAACACCAAACAGATCATTGCAGCATTACCCATAATCCCCTCTGTTTCAGCCCTGTTTCAAAAGTGCTGATTCGCTGTCTGTTACTTTAGATGAAAATAAGGAGCCCCTCCCCACGCCCCTCTGAGAGACATTTGGTTACAAAGAACTCAATGGTGCTCTAGGAGGAGATTCAGGTGAAGGTGGGGGGGGGTTACCTTGGTTGCTGATTGGCTAATGGTTACACAAGCCAAAACATCGTTATGACATCATAAAGTGGCCAAAATCTGAACAGCTCATTTTCAGACAGGTTTTTATAGAAATGGATCAGGACAAAAAGAGAGAGAATCTTTTTTCCTGAAGCTTTCAGAATATCTTTCCACAGAGGGGACACATGTTGATGTAGAAGAGACATAAAGACAGAGGGGACACATGTTGATGTAGAAGAGACATGAGGAAGTGGATTTTGCATAATAGGTGACCTTTAAATGTGTTATCAGAAGAGTTCTGTTTGTACTTTGACCAACTGTTCCCCCCCCCGCAGGTTTGATCATTGATGCCTTTGGAGAGCTGAGAGACCAGCAGGAGCAGGTGAAGGAGGACATGGAGGTGAGACTGGACTCAAACTGGGGAACATCTCAGACACAACACGCCTCCTTTCATATCGTTTATAGACAGCTGCATAGATGTGGAGGAAAATACTAAAAGATACCGAGGGTGCTTTCAGGGTCGTCGAGATAAGAGTAAAACATGTTCCCTAAATGATTATTGCGGCCAAAGTCAAACTACATTGCAAACTCAACAACCAGCCCCGATGTTAGTTTGCTGTCCCTGATGCAGTTTGTTTGCCGTCTAATTTGCATGTTGTATAGTAGATATGTGATTTCACATGAATTCAAGTAGTAATTTGGGTTTGTGAGTAGAGGGATTTCAACATCAGTCACACAGATGATGTGTTTGTGGTCCTCATTTATATGTGAGTGAAACAAGTGACACTATCTTCTCCTCAATTACAATCATTTGAACCATAGTTCAGTTAGAGGTGCAGTCCTCCTGTCTCATAATGCTGACACTCAGCTGTGTTGTGATATGTGTCTATGTGACACCAGAGAAAAGGAATGAAGAATGTTTTTTCTGTCAGTCCGTTCATTTGATTTGTGTTTAAAAAGCCGGCACTGTCCTCCCCTCTGTCTCAACGCTAACATCTCCAAAAAAGACCCTCTGGTACAAGTCGGCACCGTCAGATATCTTTATACCAAAGGAACAAAACTACACGTGAAATGGACCTTAGTACAGCGGGGGATTTAAGTACAAATGAACATCTCCCCTTCTTCCTCCAGACTAAGTGCTTCATCTGTGGCATCGGGAACGATTACTTTGACCGGACGCCTCACGGGTTCGAGACCCACACCTTACAAGAACACAACCTCGCGAACTACCTGTGAGTGCAGCAGCAAAGCTAAAACACTTTTCTGTTTACAATGCGGACATTTCTCACAGTTCCCTCCTGTGTGCAGGTTCTTCCTCATGTACCTCATCAACAAGGATGAGACTGAACACACGGGTCAGGTACGTGAACACTTACTCACTATTTATTCATTATTTCACTTGTGACATTATCCGATCAATATTAAGACGGCATAGGAAAGTTCCAGAAACTTCAGCAGGTTTCACTTCTGCAACGTTTCAACCCACTTGTTATGTTGCATAAGTTTAGCAGGAGGAAGATGTGTGGGATATTAAGTTGTTGTTGTTGTTGTTGTTGTGCACCTGAGACTGGAGTTGTTTTTATTTGAGGTGCATGCTCTGTTCTTATGTCACACATCCAGCAGTAGGAACATACAACTCACTTTGTGCAGCCGCTCCATGCAGAGAACACATTCAGCTGCTTTGAAAGAATATCACGTTGGAAACATGATTACGTTTTTAGTGATTCTGCAGAAAATAAAATCAATTTAGGTCTCAATCCAAATGATTCCTGATGTCACATGACCTGCAGTATCTTTCTCAGTGTTACGCAGTATGTATCCTTTCAAACCAGCTAGCTGGGATTTCCTGTTTCTCATTCCACATGTTTCACAAAACTAAGGGAAGAGCCCCATAAGACTCATACGTGTGGTCAGGGTCTGTGTGAAAGCAGTCCTCACTCATTGCTTTTGTAAAACAGGTTTCCATTATTGATAATACAAAAACACTTAATAGTAGTTATGATTTTTGTTATGCCTAACTATAAAACGACATTTAATAACTTAAAAAAGCTATAAACTTTCTGACTTAATTGACTTTAATATTTCTTATGACATACTGTAATATGCTTTTATTGTATGTCAAATATGAGATTTACATTTTAAAGACTTCACTATTTAATAAACAATTCTACATATTGTTATGACATACTATACCATGACATTTTGTCTGATATTTTCAATATACTATCCTGTGATGTTTTTTCAGATTTGTTTATACATTATTATATGAAGATTTATTTCGACATACTATGACGTTTTTTTAGACACTCTGCTACATACTATACATAAATGTTCTTATATGCTTTACTATGACTTTAATTGGTTGTTCAGAATATACATCAATATAAATGTTTTATTACATACCCTGCTTTCTTTAACCCTTGTGTTGTGTTCGAAAGCTGTTACCGTTCATGGTGTTCGCGGGTCAATTTTGACCCATGATTTATCTCAGTCCAAAACACAAAAAGAAAATGACTTTTATCCAATATTGTTTTAGCTACATCATAACTAATGTATTATGCATTCATAACCGTACAATCCTGTACAATTTAATGTTATGGCCCCAAAACACATTACACCACATATTGCACACGTACATGTGTGTGTTCAGGTTCAAGTGTTAGTGTACATATTCTTTGAGAAAGGTCGAGTTCTCGTTGGGGGAGGGGGGCAGAGGGAGGGGAGACCAGAAGACCAGGTGCATGTTGCGAATAATTATTGTTACAGTTGATGAAGGGGGCGGGGGAGGGGTGTCTAAAGTCAAAGATGAATCTTGATTGGGCCAAATTTGACCTCGAGTCACCCAAAACAATACTGCCGGGTCTCCCCAGACCCCAACACCAAATGATGCACTTTTTTTTTTAGAGACCTTCACACTTGGCAAAAATTGTAAAAATCAGTTTTGTAGTGTTTTATAGCTGTTGTGGACGATCTCATGAAGCCTTGTTCAGATACAAAAAACTAGAGCGTAGTTATTATATCATTAGAACTTGAAACGGGTCACAGGAGACCCCGAACACAACATAAGGGTTAACTGACTTGAACTGTTCATGAACCTGTCCACACCATCAGCTCTGCTCCTGTTCCCCCCCCTCCCCCTCTCTCCAGGAGTCCTATGTGTGGAAGATGTACCAGGAGAGATGCTGGGACTTCTTCCCGACTGGAGACTGCTTCAGGAAGCAGTACGAGGACCAGCTGGGTTAGAGAGGATCAGCCTCTCTGCTTCCCTCTATCTGAAAGAGACACTGAGCTTGACTTGCCCCTGTTACCAGAACCTGAACACTCGCTGGACTTTCTCTGCTGCCATGGTGTTGAGAAAAAAAATAGTCATTCATTTTGAATTCACAAAAAAATCATGTCTAGAAAAATGATTTGAAGACGTGCGACTGACGACTGGACATTTGGGGTTTGTGCATCCTCTTCCTTGTTACCGAAAAGTCACTTGCCACGACGCGTCTTTTATGCAAATTATTTTGATTCACATTGCCTTTTTCTTGCTTAACCCCAACCTCTTGCACAATTTGTTGTGTGTAGACATTTGATACATGCGAAGGGTTACAGCATGACAACTGAATGTTTGAATATGCACAATTTCTACATTACCGCCAGGATGTTTGAGTCACGTGTTACCGAACCACCTGAATGGATGTGTGCTGCTAGTGATGATCCTGCTAACATCAAACCACACAGTGAGTGAGACCTGATCTGCCTTTTCAAATCTGTCCGATGAAACGCTACAGAGGATGGTTCTTCCAGGACCAGAGACGTCTCACTTAAGATGTTTTATCAAGTGCCGACGTGCCTTAAGAGAAACTATGCAAAAAAACATTTATCATTTTCGTCCCTCCTGACACAAGCAGTGCGTTAGCTCTGGTTTAGAATCAGCTCAAGCTAGTTTTGTGGCTTTTAAAACGATTACATTATCAAGAGAGAACATTTGTTTTATGAAATTTAGATCATCCTCGTGTAAATGTGGCTTGGTTTGGTTTTATTTCTAAGTTGTGGTGTCCTGCCCTCTTACAGTAGAAGGGCCCCAAAAAGAGAAAACACAAAAAAACTAATCTTGGTTCAAGTATTTATTGACGACTAAACAGTTCACTGCTATTGTAATGACACTTCTATGTATGTAGTAGCTTTGGTCATCTGCACTTCTTTTGATGAGGGGGAGGAAATGAATAAAGAAGTTGACGCAATAAAGCCACGTGTCCCATCTGACTCTCCTTCGGGAACAGAGGATTCTTTCTCTGAAACATGCAAAAGGAAACATTTTGACACATTTTAGAAAGTCATACTGTCCTGTCTCTACACCTCAAACACTGTCATGGTAACTAATGAACAAACTGCCTCTTTTAATTCAGCAAAGAGCAAAGTAAGAAGCTGGAACTTGACTGTACAAACATCTGTCCAGCACACAGATGTTTTAATAGCTTTCAGGCTGACAATTAAAGTCCATTTCCTTTTTATATACATCTTCCATCTTAAGTCCTTTCCTTGGTCAGGAGATCATGCTGTCCAGCCAGTCCTCCAGGTCGTCCTCCGTCATTTCCTGCTTGACGGATGCAGATTTGGGCGGTGTGACGTCTTTCTCTTTCACCTCTACGATCTTCTCTTGTATTACCTCCTTCACTTCCTCACATTCTGAAAAATGAACGAACACACGTTAGTTCAAATGGGCTCCTTATGTCATCAGTTCACTCCCAAAATGTCAAACTTGAACAATAGGCGCTTTCACACCGCAGTACTTTTCCCACAAAGGTTCATGAGAACTTAGTTCATCAGAACTCTTTAGTTCTCATGAACTAAGTACAGATCGCGTTCACACCGGAATAAGTCCCTGAGGGAGGATTAGGCAAATGAAGCCGCTGACGTCACTTCTTCTTCTTCTGCTTTGGGTTTACTGGCAGGCCGCAAACAACTTCACGGCGTATGCTGCCGCCCAAAATCCCCGGCCGGAAGTCCCCGGAGTTAGGGACTGGCTTCAGTAGAAGCTGCTGGGACAGCCTTCCGAGTAAATCGCCAGAACGCCGATACCTCCTCATCTCCACCGCTTCCATGTTTTTTTTTGTGTTGCCATAAGTTAGTCTCTCTGCGTTTCTGCGCTGAGCTAATGCTAATGCTAATAATGCTAATGCGAGGATAATAAAATGGTGGCTTCACAACACTTTTTTTGAGTTTTACGGGGCGTGGTTTGCAATCCGCTTTTCTCACAAGAGAGTCCCTGCTCTCTAGCAGGGACGGAAAAGGGGGTAAAAAGGTTCTCATGAACTAATTTTAGTTCCGGCTCTTTTTGGTGTGAACGCAACATTTTGGAACTATATCGGAATTAAAGTGGGAAAAGTACTCCGGTGTGAACGCGGCTAAAGACACGCTGAATAAAATCACCTTTCTCTGGAACCTTCCTGTCCTCCTCCAAACTGACGGACTGGTTTCCTGAGACTGGTTTCTGTAGACCGAGCAGCTGGTCCAGCTCTTCATCACCCTCATCCTCCACCAGCGAGGGAACCTGCGAGTGTGAGGCCGTCGCTGGGTGTGTCGCCACGGGGACCTTCTGGTCGGAGCAGGGGACTTTCAGCGCTGCAGACGGAGGAGTGAAGGCGGACATTTTGGGAGGTTCGTGTTTGTGAGTGAAGGTCATAGTAGGCAGCTCCACTGGGGTCGAGACCTGAAACAGGATTACAATTCAAACCTGCAACGAGGCAATGTGATACTTATATACTTCACTCTGACCTTTAATGTGATATTTTAGACCTACAAATCTATGACGTTTTGACCACTCAACATACAATTACTTTTTTTCAAATATTTTTCGACATTCTATACTATGACATTTTTTTTGCAAACAGTAATATTTTATACTATGGAGTTTTTCTCAACATATTATACAAAGAGGTTTTCCAAAATATCAGAAAAAAAAGTAATGGTATAGGAGTGTGTCGAAGAAAAACATCATAATAAAGTATGTAAGATATTTTGGACATATTTTTGTTTTTGTTTCAGATATTTTCGACAGGCCACGACTATCACGACTATAACCTTATTTTGTTGACATACCGTACTATGGATTTTCTCAACATGCTATGAAGTTTTTCAAAAATATCTGAAAAAAAGTCATATTGTATGTCGAAAAAAAAAAACGTCATTGTCTGAGTATGTCTGATATTTTCAACATACTTTGAGTTTTTTTTTTAAAAATACTATAATATGGAGTTTTTTGGACATACTTTCCTACGATTTATTTGGTCATATTGTCAACCAACTATAATCATAAAACAAGACTTTTTTTCTGATATTTCCGCTTGTTTTGCCTTGCAGTCGCAGCCTACCTGGAGCAGCTCCTCCTCCAGGTGGAGTCTCTGATGGAGAGGCACCTGCTGGAGGATCTGGGCGAGCGCCGGGAGGTCGACGAACACTGTGGACATCTAGAGAGGAAACCAGAAACCAGGCTGTAAAATGGAGACTTCAAACTTCAGTGGAACATCATACATCTTTTGTTATCATTACACTGAGAGAAGTCGGATCCACATCAATACTCCTTTGTACAACACACTGCTGCTCTGACTGCACACATGAAGAAGAAAGAGTTCACGAATGGTTATATCACCAGACTGGATGTTGATTTTTTTTTTTCATAGTGTTTGCTTTTCAGCAGATCTGTCATGAGCAGTAGGGATAACACATCTTGCCTTACAAGATAACTTTTTAAAGGTGACTTTTTAGGGTTTTAAGTGGAACAAATCGTACGTGAGAAGCCTCATTTTCCAGTGGTTGAGTTGAGTTAACACACCTGGTTTAGCAGTTCTCATAAAGTTGACCTCTTCAGCAATTGTCGAGACATTTCACTCACACTCACAAATCTTAACCTCATGTTGGCGCAAGAGATAAAGTCAGAGGGTCACCAAGTTCAGTTTGATGTATCCTCTGGGAACCATGAATGTCTCAGTAAAATGTGTCGCCAACCTTTCAGTATTGTAAATATGTCAGTGTGGACCAAAGAGAGGGCCACCAACAGATGAACTGCTAATGCGCTAACAATGCTATATTAGCTATTTCTGCTTTCTAACTGCTGTAGCATTTCCAATCCAGACCTTCGAGGGATCCATACCTCACAAAGTGGGACACATCCATAAAAGACAGAGAAGCAAAGCTGCAGATTGGGTAGTGTATGGATTTACCTGACTGTCTGCCGATGAGTCCACCTCCCAGTCCTTTTCTTCGGAAAACCGGAATTGAGTGAAGGAATCCCCTGAGAAACACACACAGAGAAAGAGCTTGACACATTACTGTTGTGGTAGACTACCCACAAGACCTCTGTTTCAGTTCAAATCAAAACAACACGTATCTTCTTCAGTGTAATCATTTCTCCTGAGTAAAGAGGAAACTCGAGGCTGTGTGTGATTGCGCCGGTTGCTCACATAAAGTGAACGTCCTTCGCCTCTAAAGATGTCTCACTGTGAAGCAGAATGTATTTGGAAAGCCGTCAAAAGCTTTGTGTAAACTGTTGATCGGTGCGAGAGTGAAAGCAGGGCTTCAAGTGACACCGCTCTGCTTCCAAAAACATCCAGTGGCTGAGGGCTCTCGTGAGCACAAAGGCACGGGGGTCGCGTTATACAGAAGCACAAAGCAGCAGCAGCAGCAGCAGGTAGACACATGTTTGCAGAGCTGTGAGCAAAGCAAGGGATGCTTATGTACACCGTTCAGACACAAGGCAAGTCATATTAATGGAATAGTAAATTGCATTTAGGAGCCAAAGCAAACAAATAGTTACATATGAGAAAGTGCTGATGCATTCTTTATTTATTTTGATCTGCACAGTTATTCAGGATGTTAACAACCTTATATAAAGCATCCAAGTTGTTTTAAACACTGACGAACAAATGAGAATGAAATGTGTTTTGGTGCAAAGGGAAACTGTGTTCGAGCAGTCAAAACACGACATCCATTTCAAACCGCTCAACGAGGACACGCGGAGTCAGCTGTGAAGCACCTCTCCTGAAACTCCTCGTGTTGGGGACGGATGCAGAAAGAGTTTTGTAATATTCAGTGGAATAACAGGGTGAAGACATTTTATCTTTGCTCGGTTGCAGAAGGGGAGAGAAACTTGTTAGGTGGTTTCTTATATATTTGTCTTCCCACAATTGAGATAAGAAGGCCGCTCTAATGTCGTGGCAGTAAACAATAAGCTTGGGTTAACATAACGACTGGAAGCAGATGGAGCCAGATAGCAAGAAACTCCAAAACACACACACACACACACACACACACACACACACACACACACACACAGANTCGTTCAGCCCTAGCATACATGTTCTTTTAGTAAACACTGAAAACGGGTCCCACAGACCCAAACAGCACACAAAGGTTAAAGGTCAGCATATAATAATTTTAAAATGTGCTAAATATATACACTGCAAAAAACAAAAAAGAGGAGTAAAAGTAGCCCCCGACTTGTTTTATTTTTTTAAAGTAGCCCTCACCCTAACAAAGGTTGGTGACCCCTGGTTTAGACAGTAGCTGCCGGGTCTCGCATGAGCTCAGCCCCCTCCTTTTTTCTTTTTTATCAAGCTAGCTTTATACCCCAAATCAGCACTTTTGAAACAGGAAGTGAAATAGAGGGATATGAGGCATGGCTTGAATGGGTGATCTGTTTGGTATTTTGAGCATAACACTTCAGAGACATGTTTTTTATATTTCTTTATATATCTGAGACCTATGCTATTGCCTAAAAATAGCATGATAGGTGACCTTTAATGGAAAATAGGACTTAAAAGCCAAAATATGTGTCAAAACACCACTATATATTATTGTGGTGTTTCTCTGTCTTCAGAGAGTTGATGAAGTTCCAGCGCGAGGTGATGTCTGCAGAGTCGGCTTTGGAGCAGAAATGTTTGTTCAGACACAACATGCTGGTCGGCTGTAAGATCCAGGGTCTGCCCATCGTCCTGCTGTCAGGGAACCTCAACGAGATCACCGAGGTGCAGGTGTGACACAGAGAGATTTCACTTTTTCGCCATTTAGGGCCAGTTGTGGCTCAGGAGACAGTGCTGGCGTTTGCCAATAGGAAAGGTGTGGTCCGATCCCTAGCAGCAAACAAATTGATGTGTCCTTGAGCCAGATACTTCACCTCAAATTGTGTGTTTGAATGTCTGTAAATGTTTGTGAATGGTTTGATTAGTAGCAAAGACTGGACATGTCTAAATGAGTCCTGCACATTTTTGGCAAAAGTAAAAGATATTAAATTGCGCTGAATGAACCGAATAATTTAATAAAAGAAACTGCACTTGTTTTAGAAAATGTAAAGCTGAGAAACCCTGAGGACTTAATAATACAACTGTCAGTGTCAGTATCACCTGATGACAGACTCTCCTTTGCAGCCTGACACAGAAACAACTGAAAGCACTTCAACCATGAACACCATGAGCATGTATGAGAGAGAGGCACAGCTGATCATCGACTACTCTGGCCTGGACGAAGATTTCAGGGTGAGCCATGAACCCAAAGCATTGTCCTTTGTGCTATGTTGATCAGAAATGAATCTATAACATGCATTGAATGTGTGTGCAGAGTCTAGAGGCGGAGGAGGAGGTGCAGGCGCACATTGAGAGGCTGAACAAGTCCATGTCCTCCATCGAGGGATTTCTGCAGCGCACCACCGCCCCCAACCTCAAAGCTCTGGAGAAGATGAGGGAGGTGAAGGACAAGCTGCAGGGAGTGACCGACGGTATTTATCAAGTTTTAGTGACAAAATGAAACTTTGGTTAGGTGTATTTAATATAATACAAATATAGTATAACATGTTGTCCCTCCCCTCAGCGTTTGAAGCCAGCACCAGAGTGGCCAGAAAGTGCAGTCAGGAGTTTGAGCAGGTGAAAGAAAAGCGCCTGCAGCTCTTCACTCAGTGCTTCGATCACCTGTCTGTCGTCATCGATCAGATCTATAAAAGAATCTGCTGCAACAACAGCGCCCAGGTGAAGCAACAAAACCTCAACCACAGAAACACACTCAAGGTTCTATACATGCGACGTAAAACCATCAGCATGCTTGTGCAAAATATGAGTCTGATAGGTGGCAAACTGATCATTGCATCTCCAGTGTATACACTCAAAACAGTAACAATTTACTTTAATGAGCAGATTTAATAAGTTAAAGGTCCCATGTCATACTTTTCAGGAGCTCCAACAAGCCGTTTAGGACAGAGAGTGAATACACATACTATACAGAGATGCTGTATGAGAAACCAATGTGAGTTTGGAACATTGAACAATGTAAATGTATTCTAGTCGACCTCAACAATGGAATTATGATCAGTAGAAATGGCCATGACATGGGACCTTTAAACTGCTTTTAATCAAACTCATAAAATAACGTGGACCCTGTAGACAAAATACATACAATTTAAGTAAACATTTGAATTTGTTGACTGTTATACAGCTAGAATAAAAACTGTTGTTCCTTCTTGTAAGGCTCTTAAAATTCATCTAATCATAAACAGTGTGCACGGTTCATCATTTTCATTAACATTGGGCATTGCAGAAGATGCTACAAGCAAGAACGAGAAGCTTTTAACCCCTCTGTATGCTGCAGGCCATTCTGAGTGCAGAAATTCCTGAAGAGCCGTACCTCGGCGGCATCAACTACAGCTGCGTGGTTCCGGGGAAACGATTCATGTCCATGGACAACCTGTCGGGTGGAGAGAAGGCCATCGCTTCCCTCGCCCTGTTGTTCGCTATCCACAGGTAACACTGGGCTTATAACCCAACCCTAAAACACACTATATGACTTTACATTAGACAAGGTTCATGATTTCAGGGTGTCCGCGGGGTCTTAAGAAGTATTAAAGTTGATAAATCAATTTAGCGAAAATTAAGGGTATTCAAAAGCATTAAACGGTATTTCCCAAGAGGTTGTATTCTACAGTCTGCCTGAATGTAATCATTGCGTAGGTGTGTAGTGTGATTCTGTGTAGTTTATTTATGGCATCCCGTTGGATGTGACGTCATCTGAACAGGACATCGCACGCTCACTGCTTGATAGCGCGCGAAGCTCCGTTTACGCCGGTTGTTAAACAACATCGTTATGGGGAAATGCAAGTTTGCGTCCAAATGGTTGGAAGATAAGGAGGAAGGACAATCAATACTGTATATAGTCAATGTGAGGTAAAGTGTGTCGCCAAGGTAACGGGTTAGAACTCCAAGTGGCGATGAGGTCTTAAAATGTATGGAAAGTTAAATAAGGTATTCAATTTGACTTCAGGATTCCTGCATATACCCTGGATTTATATGGCGTATTTCAACACAATAAAATTCATTAAGATATTTTGCCAGGGGGATAGGAACAATAAAATATCGAAATGAATGTGGATACTAAAAGAAATGCACATAAAAGCGAGCGATAACACGTAAAATAAACAGAATTTAAATTCTTCAACACCAGATTGACATACCATCATTCCCTAAAATAATTTACCAAGATCTGTTTTTGCTAGATATTAATTAATCTGGACAGATGGAAAACTTTAAAAAGGAGATAAAATAAATATTACCACAGCTGTTGACACTAGCGATTCCAAAAACAACCATTTTGCAAGTGGCCTGGGGGTACTTCACTTGTAATGACTGAGTTTTTTAGCTGATGGATGGACTAATAAAGTCAAACTATGTAATTTGGAGAGTCTGTTGATCCTCTCCCTGAACCCATCATCACTCCTTCCTTTTTATTCTCTTTTGCACTTTATCCTTTTCCCCCTCTTCTGATACTTCTATCTAAAGCACTTTCCTACATAACCTTATACTTGTTGCATCAGTTTTGAACGGCCCTGACTTTAACATTTGACCCACGTCGTTTGGCTTGCTGCTCTCATGTCTCTCAGTTTCCTTCCCGCTCCCTTCTTGATCTTGGACGAGGTGGATGCAGCGCTGGACAATACAAACATCGGCAGAGTAAGAAACCAGCTGCATCTATTGTTTATCATTCATTTTCGTTACAGCAATTAACATCAATCAACCAACAATTCCAATATTCTTCAATTACATACACCCTTAATGTGAGGATTTGCTGCTTTTTGTATGTTTTATATCATTTTGAACTGGATATGTTTGGGCTTCAGAGTGGGATGGACAATGCATGATCATTTCAGGGATCACTTCTGCTTTTGGAGAATTGTGATAAATACACAGCTTTTCTTATAACCTTATTTTGCTTGCAGATCATTTTGTGTTAAATAATAAACACAAGTATATTTTATATGATATAACAGGGGTGTCCAACTCAAATACACAGTGGGTCAAAATAAAAAAATCTGTACTAGTCGAGGGCCGGACTGGTTCAATGTTTATTGCAAAACGTATTGAAATGAACTTATTGCACATATTAAACCTGGAACTAACAAAGCTTAAATTATTGCCAATAAAAACAACATTAAACATTAAATAATCAGATGCATTCATTTCTTATGGCTCTATCTGCAGCTTTTCCAGAGTACAGATTACATTTCTCCACAGGCCAACAACAGCTTCAAAAAAACATTTCCCTGAAAGAAAAAAACAAACATGCCCTGTTGTCGTGAGAGAGAAAGTGCAGAAGGAAACATCCATTAAACTCAGTGTGCTGCTCTGTGTTGCTAGTTCAGATACTTGGCATCTCATCTTGGGTGCAAGTTCATCAATGTTTGGGGTCAGGCTCTGAGCTGAGGAGACCCTCAGGATGGCCAGGATACCGGCGGGCCAGATCTAATAGTAATTAAAAATTATCCTGCGGGCCGAAATTAAATCCACCAAGGGCCTGATTTGGCCCCCGAGCCTTGAGTTTGACACGTGCGATATAATATAATATCAGACTGTGCTAATTGACCTTTTCGCTGAGCACGTGTGTGTTTTGTTTGTACCCAGGTGACGAGTTTCATCAGAGAGGAGTCCAGAGAGAACTTTCAGATCATCATCATCTCCCTGAAGGAGGGGTTCTTCTCCAAGTCTGACGCTCTGCAGGGAGTCTACTCAGGTGTAAGACACTTTTATAGCATTTTACAATTCCTAAATTCCTATGTGTTATGACAATACTGAAACTGAGTAATTCTCTTCTCTACAGTTTGATGAATGCATGTTCAGCCGCACTCTGACCATGGACCTGCGTCCCTACCCTCTGGTGGAAGATGAAACATAGGCAGAAAAGTAGAAGAACCTGACTGAAGCCCTGGCATTTTTGTCTCTTACAATTATGCTTTCTCATGTTTAAACAAGTTACCTTCAAGTTAAATATCTTATAGATCAAAGGAGGATTTCTATGTTCAATTGTAGCCTGTTTTACTAGGTTGATTTGACTAAAAGGATGTTTGTTAGTGAGTCTGTTCTATGTTAATATAAAATAGTCTTACACATTTTGTCAATAACAAATCTAAAGGCAGCATTTCTGCTCTTACGAGTTACAACATTCAATTGGTTGAATTGCAAAGACACCAGCGTTAAAATATTAATATGTTCATGTTTTATAGTGTTGTGGCTGTTGTTTATATATCCAGAAAGTTTCATGTTATTCCACTGTGATTAATGTTGGCATGTTAGGCCTTTGTTTTTCATACGTGTTCATTTTAAATATTTTGTATTCCAGTTGTGCTTTTGTCCTATTTATCTACAGTGTTAAAGATTAACTTGACTGTATGTTTGTATTACAATGTGGAGGTCTGAATTGGCCACAAAAGAGCACAATTACACTACGAGGTTAAAACATATTTAAAACCCTACAAAGAAAAACATACTTTCTAGCAATATATATTTATCATAATCAAAATCACTATTGTTTATATTTCCATGGTAAGTTACTTAGCTTTTAAGGTGATGCATATCCCAGTCTACCTATTAATTTATCTTAAGTAATGTTAAAAACGGTGAAAACCTAATCTCCAACTGTCAATAGATAGGGCAGAAACGTAAGGTTTGACCATAGGGCTTTCCTGCTATTTTGATTATTTCTGACCTCACCAGCAGTAGGGGGCAGTAATATTATGGTCTGGACAGAAAGAGACAGACCCCGTGACCAATATTTACGGAAGTGATGTCTGGTCCTGAACTGTCATTGCTGTTGTGTTCTGTCCTGTATTATAAATATGTGTTAAACTCTTAAGATACTCGGTTATCCCTCGCCGTAAAGATATAAACCTGCTTGGCTCTCACTTAGCTTCAACGGTCTGCTAACCTGTTAGCTAGTAAGAGCAACTGACGTTAGCTATAACGAAGCTAACTAGCTTCAAACCGCATAGCTAACAAGGACTGTGCCTTTTGTTTTTGCTGCTCTGTGGAACATGGTTACTTCGGTGTGTGTTTTTGTGGTCGTGTGAAGTCTATGTACACGGTTATTGTATCTAGTACGTTGGGTTATTTATCTAGCTGGTGTTTCTTGTAACGTTGACGAAAGCTAACCGCTAGCTTGTTAGCCAGACGTTATCACCATGGGAGCCGAACAGAGCGTAGACTCGGAGCACAAACACTCCGACTACAGCTCCTCGGGTAAGATCACTTCTCTAACATTAAAGTAATTTTTATTTAGTAATTATTGAATGTATGAGCTTGCCATTCTTGATGAAAGGTGATTGAAGTCATGTGAAGTTGAGTTAGTGAAGCACTGAGTATTTCTTTATTTGTAACATGTAACTACCATCAGCTTCACTAAATCTCTAAGTAATATTTTGATTTTTTTTTTACTAACGTTACGCTTAAATCATTTGCCAAGATTTCATATATAAATTAACTCTGAAATGAACCATTCTGCCTAATGGAGACTTTGATACCTTTTCATATTTTGCTGATAACATTTTTTAATTTTTACTTCACTCACATTTTGGATATATTACTTGTAACTGAGTGTTTTAACACTGTGACATAACTTATTTTCCGTTAGTAAAAAAATAGTACTTCTTTCATTTCTGGTAAAAAGCTAATATAAATGTTAACTGCTCAAAAGGATAAATAGTATTCCTATTGGTGAGATGCCTGATGATATTAACAGGACTTTTGTCTTTTCAGTGGTGCCCTCCCCAGCGAAGCAGAAAGCAAAGATGGATGATATCGTCATTGTTGCTCCGGGGACTCAATCACTGCGAAATATCCACAACGACCCAGATGTTATTAAGCTTCAGGAGATACCTACCTTTCAGCCCCTTTTAAAAGGTACATTTTAAACTCCTCCAGCTACCTATGCGTTATAGAGGCATCTGTAAAATATGTTGCTAAATCTATTGTGGTCAAATTCAGGTTACACACTTCAGTCAACAATTGCTCACCCACATCAGAAATCCTATATTCTCTATCAGATATTATAGGTATTAAGTGAGCCCTAGAAATGCATATATATAACGTTTAAGTCTGGGTACTGGGGTACGAAAGCAAGCGAAAGGCACACATAATATAAGTTTGAGGGTGCTAGATTAAAAAAAAACTGGAATCAGACATCAGATGTGCACACTGCACTGATACTTCCAATAACTAATATTTCATTTCACAGTGTTTTGATTTCTCTGTTCTCTGGAGTTATTGTTGATGTCTGACAAAGATTACTTTGATATTGCAGTGTTGCTTCATGAAGTTAAGGTTATTGGAAGATATCAGTAGATTTTGAAGATCTTCTATCCTTTCATTTTCCAGAAGGAGATATTCAGTTTCATATGATTTTCCACACTTTCCCACCAGTCCTTTTTGAAAATGTGTAAAGACTGCAGCCCATTAGCACTGTGTTAGAAGCTGGATAATGAGCCAAGGTTCCTGTGTAGGCGTACTCCTGAAATAGCAGAGATGTAACTCTGTCAGATCCTGTGCATAGCAATTAGAGTAATTGCCAAGTGTGACGCAGTTGTCGAGTGTTTCATCTCTGCTTTTTACAGGAGTGCTGAGCGGTCAGACGTCTCCCAGCAGTTTGTGTCTGGAGAGGCTGGACGCCGCTCAGGTTATGCAGCTGTGCATCCGCTACCAGGACCATCTGCACCAGTGTGCCGAGGCCGTGGCCTTCGACCAGAACGCTCTGGTCAAGAGGATCAGAGAGGTAACGCTGCCTAAAGATCAGTATGTGATATTAACCATGTATGGTTTCTCATGAATAAATCCCCCCAAAAATAAATTAACTATTGTGTTCCCAATTGAATGTAGAGGGTTTATGGTTAGTTAATAAATAAACCATTTACCTAATTTAATAAGAAAATAAGTAATTTGTTGTACCATAGATTGCTCTACAATTTCGACAATCTAATAAAAAAAAAAACTGATAATTTTAAATTGCACAATATTTGTATTAATATGGCCAATGATATTTAAAAAAGTAATATTGCACATGTTATTAATGTTATTGTACTTATTGTCGAATGTTTACATCAGAAAATCAAATTACATTAATTAATTGACAAATGAAGAAATGTATCAAATTGAATTTCTTAAATTTATAATATTGTATTTGAGTTTTTGAAGACAAAATCAACAATTTCAAGCCTTTTCCAATATATTTCAACATTGTATGATTACTTAATGATCAAGTGATTACTTTAAAGCAGTAAAAATAGAGAGATACATTCAAATTGTAAGCACATGTGAAAGATACAGTAATACAGTGAATAATGTTCATGCTTTATGTGTTGCTGATATAGTTTTCACAAGTTATTTCAAGAGAATTGATCAAATCTTGCCAAAAGTCAAAGGCTATATCTATCCTCCCTGTTTCCCTCCAGATGGACTTGTCAGTGGAAACCTTGTTCAGCATAATGCAGGAGCGCCAGAAACGCTACGCCAAGTACGCCGAGCAGATCCAGAAGGTCAACGAGATGTCAATGATCCTCAGACGCATCCAGATGGGCATCGACCAGACGGTGCCGCTGATGGAGCGCCTCAACAACATGCTGCCTGAGAGCGAGCGGCTGGAGCCCTTCAGCATGAGGCCTGACAGGGATTCAGCTTCCAAGTAGCCTCCTTAAACCAGAGCAGCTGATTCTTACTGAGTCTACATCCTGAGCTGAAGCCAGGAGGAAGTGCAGGTGTGTGCAGCTGTAGGGATTACCCCTTTTAAGTTAGTTTGTGTTCAAAGTCAAGGTAGAGTTAAGGTTTGAATAGGAGAGTCAGTTATTTTATTATGTCCCTTAATGCAGAATAAGTGCTGTTAAAGTGGCAATAGACCATTTTTCCCCTGCTAGCGATTATTGTTGGTGCCACAACTAGGACAACTACTCCAGACTATCAAGGAAAGAGCTAGAAATATATTCTAAAATGTTATATCGTAATTAACTCCAAAAGCTGCTCGTAGTAATCACAGACCATGGCTCTTCTGCCAACACCACAGGAGGTCGCTCCCTTTCCTCTTGGCAGTCTCTTCCAAGCTGCAACCAACCCAGCTACTCAGCTTTATGCTAATGAATGTAACTGTGACATTTTAAAGCCACTTTTTGGGGCTTGTTCTAGTTTATTTAATTGGAAAAGAGTTGGCAGTACTGCAGAGGACACAGTGCATTCTGTTTCCACGGCTTTGTGCCATAAATCGAGCCTACGTGATGTGATCTTTCCCAGTAGACAGAGAAGCATACTGAAAGCAAGTCTTGTAGAAAACCAATCTTGAGACTGATGGTTGCTTTGTGCAATCAACATTTCATTTGAAATAATAAGGTAAAGCAAACAACCTGAGTTTAACCGCAGCCTTCTGCTCCTGGCGACTGAGCAGCAAAACTCTACAGCTGCAGACTTACGAAGTGCTGCGATCAAGTGTGTGGAGATTATTGCTTATCCCATACCTGCAGGGAATCAAACTGGCAATCGTCCAGGCACTCGCTTTCCTGAACAGACAAGAGAGGAACAGACACTTTCGATTGAGTCCGAGTGAACTCCACTCGCCCGAAAAAACATGTCCTGCCGCTTTTAAGGAATCTAATAGGTGTGAGCCGCATAACACTTCATAAACAATTCCTGCTGCTTGGGGGATTTGTGCAAAACATCAGAGCCGATTGATTTTGGATCTCCTCTGGAGCCTCACTCTACAAATATTTGTCGTCTGTGATCCTGATATTCTCCTCGATGCACGCCAAATGCCCCGCTCGCTGTTTGGATGTCCACTCCTTGAACCGCTTGCTTACAAGACATTTTTTAAACTTTCAAAATGTTGGAATATCATGTCGAAGAGACTCGCGAAGAGTAGAAAAATGGATTATTGCCTTTGGATTACACAAGGAGCCTGGATGTACTGTGTATTGGACGTAAAACAACAAAGTCTCCCAGGATACAGAGGATACTTTTCAATATTTCTGTGCTAAATGAACTTGATATTAATTTATTTGGATATGTTGGCTGTTTGCATGAAAAAAGTGAAACGAAGGACCGAACCTGTTGCTGCGGATATGTATGTAGAGGTGGAGAGTAAACATTATAGCAAGTAGAAAATCCAGCAGTAACTTAGCTTATTGGTGTCCCCTAGTTACTGGTGTATCTACATGTTATGTAAGGCACTCTGTTACAAATGATTGTGTGTGTTTGTCAGCTTAACAATCATGCCAAAGATACACGAGTCCTCAGAGCTGTTATATGATATATGGCCATGTCTCTGATCTGAGGAGAGTGATCAAGTTAACTTCACATCTGTTGAACATTTGTTCCTGCATCACAAATCATGCTTGTCTGGCTTCAAGGGTCGATTTAAATTATAAAAATAAAAACACATTTTCTCTCTTACCTCTGGAGGGATGAGATCGCTTTTGATCATTTTTGTTTTATTTGTCCAGGTCTTTGTTGTTGTTGAATACTTGGGCCTCCAGCACAAATCCGTTGACGTGATTTAATGTTTACAACACCACAGTAATGAATCAGCAGCATCAGTGTTGGAGAAATGTTCCTGTCACCTGAGATAATCCAAAAAACAAATCATCAACGTTTTTAACATCGGCAAGGCAAGTTCATTTATATAGCACTTTTCAGCACGCGACAATTCAAAGTGCTTTACAAAACAAATTAAAATACTTTTTAGGAATAAATACAGTAAAAACACATTACCGGTATATAATGGCATTTTACAACAGGCATTACAAAGCAAAGATAATAAAATGAACACAACAGGTATACAATACATGTTTAAATGGCATACTGTAGTGTGAATATCAGCAGCTCAATTAAAAGCAGCGGCAAAAAGATATATTTTCAGTCTCGATTTAAAAATAGTAAGAGTTTCTGCAGACGTGCATGTTTCGGGCAGTTTGTTCCAGAGTGTCGGGGCATAACAGCTAAACGCTGCCTCTCCATGCTTTGTTTTTACTCCCGGAACCGATAGCAGACCCGTCCCAGGAGACCTGAGACTCCTGGATGGTTCGTAATTATGTAGGTAGGAGATCAACCATATACTTTGGTCCTAAACCATGTAATGATTTAAAAACTAGCAATAGAACTTTAAAATAAATTCTTTGGCCGACTGGAAGCCAGTGTAA